ACTCACAACCTTCCTTACATCTCACCCTCACCCTTTTCTTATCATTTTTTATGGTCTTGAGGGCTCTTTCATTTTGAACAGCATATGAGGCAATTGCTTCCTTAACGCCATCCTTTGAAGTAAAATACATTCCTAATTCTCATTTGTAATTGGACATATCTTTTATCTCTTTGAAAATTGGGTATTTCTTCCTTTTAACCCCACTACTGTCATCACTGTCACCACCACTTTGAAGATCATCATTGTCATTGTCACTCCCCTTATATTCTTCTGTATCTTTGTTGCACTTTCCTTTTCCTTTTCATTTTCCTTTTGATATTTCATTACTTTTATACACAGTCATGTCTGCAATTTCATTTTCATCAATATCCTCATAACCATCATATTCATCGTCAAAGGCTACTTCTAGAGCATTATCATACTGGTAACTCGCATCCTCACTGTCATCAGAATTGGATTCATCATGCACCTGACCATCAGTATTTAGCTCCACTTCAACATTGGTTGCTTCCACCCCTACATTTGCATCATTCAATCCAGCATTACTTTGTTCCACAACAACATTTGGGTAATTCAATCCATCATTAACTTCATCCACACCAACAACAGACTCCTTTAACTTTCCTTCAATGTCATCATGCAGCTTGTTAAGCAACTCCTCCATCTCATCTACAATGTTCTCAGGCTCCTCAACAAGACCATCACAATACTCAGGTTGAGACAAACTGTGTTGAATGTAAACATGAACAATATGGTGTACCCTGTATAGGTCTGCAATTTCTAGAGCACCTTTGTCATCAACTAGTTCATTCATCCTAAATTGTGGGTCTTTGTAATACATTTTCTCTACATTATCTGTATAACCTAAGTCTTTCAATACACCAACTAACTTGAAGTAACTCCACCTATCAACATCTACTTACAATTCATATAATAGGTCTCCTTCATAGACACTAAGCTCTCGATCAAAGAACTCACTACTGTGTTGAATTACTAGTTTCAGAAATTCATCCATTAAACTTAAACCCATAAATCCCATAACAAAAATTCAGTTACGAAGACAAAACAAGAATAAGATACCTAAATTTCCAAATCTCTAAATACCAATTACCAAAAAGAGTATGAGAATAGTTACCTGGAAAGCAATCACCTTCTCAAGCTTCGCAAGCCTCTTCAAACTCGCCTCTGCAGATTCTCGTTCTTCCTCTTTCCTTTGACTTTCGTTTTGGACAAAATGAACATGCATATTCTATCTTGAGCTTTTGGAGATTGTCTGTCCTTATTCTGTCATGTTGCCTCCAACAAGCTACTTCAGCATGACAAATACCACCTGGAGCATGTTTTGTATATTTAACTAACGTTTCACTAACGGAAGGACTAATGTGGTTACGTTTTGAAAATTAAGAGATCAATTTGACACGAAAAAAGATAAGGGGCTAAAGTAAATCTAAATCTGTATAATAGACATTTTAGAAAATCTAAATTTTTTTTGTAGTACTTCTAACACCTTAGCAAACTGAAAGAAACAAATCATATGGTCATAAGATTTCAAGAGACATGAGATATTGGAAATAAAAGAATGATAAATATAATTTCATTTAATGATAAGAGAATGATAATTTCATTTAAAGGCAATACATCTAACCTTTTATAGATTGTTTAGCTTCAAGATTCGTGTTTTTAAACAAAAACAGAGGTAATTTAACATTTTGTAATACTTACTTGTGACTGCAAGGATGAAAATTAAGGCATCTACGGTTTGGTTTAAATTGGCATACGTTAGAATTTAAAAGTTGGAGGAAGACCAAAAAGCAAAGAAATATTAATTTGATATGTTGAATTAAGTGGGGAAAAAATATCAACAGCAATTACAATTTTTTTAAAAAATCAATTAGTTATGAATGTTAATTGTGCATCGAAAAATGAAATGTATAGAATAATATCATTATTGCAACATACTATAAAAATTGACTACGAATTAATGATATAATTAAAATATGTAAATGACAATTATAACTATAAAATTAGACTTCTTATAAGATTAATTAAATATATGAATATAAATAATTTAGATATTATCAAATAAATATTATCGAACACGTTTTTTCTTTTCTCAAAACTAGTTTTTAATAATTGAATTGTAAAAAAGTATTTGCAAATACAAAACCAAAATCAAATAATTGTACCTATATATTCACTTGGAGACCGTGATAAACAAGAAAACTATTTGTTTGGCATGATATTAATGTTCCCTTCATAGTTACTACTGCTCTCTTGTTTGGGGTTCAATCTATTAATCCTATAAATCTTCTTCTAAAAAAACAATATACTTATAAAAAAATTATTCTAAAAAAAATAAAATAAATCATTACAAATTTATAATATAATTTTAGTTTTTCATATTTTTATAAATTTATTTTTAAATAATATAATAATTTATTATTAATAAAATAAAAAAGATTTATAAGTTATTAATAAAAAAATAAAAAATAATATGTAATCAAATTGTCTATATGTGACAATGACATACTATTGAAATTATACCTAACACTCGATGGGAAATTAAAATTCCACAAAAAATAAAATAGAGGGATCAAAATACCGAATTTTAAAATGAGAGGATTAAAATTAAAAAAAAAAAGAGACTAAAACTGCAATTAAACTCATTTAAAAAGTAATGGTATATTTGTACAAAAATTCAAGTGGAGGAGAATTTAGTAGAAGACATGAAATTAGAGTAAATGCTAGCAAATTGCGTCATCAATAAAATAGGGGCAAAAGAGTTATGGGGAGATAAGTCTAAGTATTGATATATTGGGTAGGCAAGGAGGGGCAAAAGAGTTATGGAGAGTAGGGGTGTTCGCGGTGCGGTTTTGACGAATTCATGACCTTTTGATAGGATGCCCCAGCATTTTTTAGGCTAAAGGGCATGACTATCCATTCGTAAGTATCCAGGGCACCCGGGCAACTAAATGTTATTTTGGGTACATCTTCGTCAGCAATGAAGATTTGATTATACCCTGAATACCTATCAAGTATACTAAGGTACTAGAAACCTACGGCTGAATAGACTAGCATTTATGTCACTGTCATAGGGTATTCATCCTTTAGGGTTGCAACATTCAAATCTCTGATTCAATGCAGACCCTCAAAGCCACATTCTTTTTTATTACAGAAACTATATTAAAAATTCATTCGACGTACCTTGTGGTGCGAATGAACTTACATTTGAGCAACCTTTAGATTTCCTCTTTAATCTTCGACAGGATCTCTGGTGCAAAGCGCCTTGGGGTTTGCTTGATTGGCTTCTTCCCAGGTTTGATTGGTAGCCTCAAGTCCACCAGTTCCTTGCTTAATCCATCCATTTCGTTGTAATCTCATGCAAAGCAGTCTTTAAACTCTTTTGAGAGTTAGATTACTTCGACCTTGACTTTTGGGATGATGTTAGCACTGATATAAGTTGACAGTTTTTTCTTTCTCATCACATAAGTCAATTTCTTCTAAGGGGTCTTGTGCCAACATCTTGACATTGGTTGCCACTAGATCCTTTTCAAATCCTAAAGGCTCGTCATCATAGATGGCGTCGAGCCTCTGACTTGTTGTATTGATGTTGACCTATCGGGTGGCTCTGGTTCGAAGTCCACTCCAGGTCCTTCCAGATGAACTGGTGTCTCTTTGGCTTCGACAACCATGTATTTTACTTCAGCCTCCAAGGCCGTTTTTAGTTTATTTTCGGCTACTTAAGCCTAAATCTTTTCCAAGAAATTGGACTTAGACATGATCATTGTCTTCATCCCCAAACCAGTGGGCCAGAGTCCAGGTACCCCTCTACATCATCTTCTTCTCTCATAATTTCTATATCCCATTGGAACCCATGGGTTGGATGTAGGTTGAGTAAGTAAATGGCTTTGTTTGATGGCGAATAAGCATGATCTGCAGAGCTGCAAGGCCCTATATTTGCCAGATTTCTGTCGAAATGATGTCTATCTACATGGTTTACTTCAGCCATGTAAAAGCTTTGATCAGCTTTGATATTATCCATTATTTCGTCTTTCCTCCAGATTGAAATTCTCTGGTGGAGTGAAGAAGACACAACCGCAATGCCATGGATCCACTCCCTTGCTAGGAGCAAGTTATAATTGGCCCTCGAGGCTATAACCATGAACATAGTGAGCCTAGTGATGGTTCCCACTGCCAGGTTAACCTGGATAACTCCCATGGTATGGTCAATTTTCTCTTCGTAGTTCGATAAGACCATGTTGTGAGGCTTTAGGTCTGTGTCGAATATTCATATTCTCTTTAGCATGAGCTGCAACATTAAATTGATTGTCGCTCCTCCATCTACCAAGATCTTGTTGACCTCAGTATTTTCCACTTTTCCTATTATAAACAGAGGCTTTAAATGATTCTTCATTCTTTCATCTGACCTACATTTTATTCATCGACTGCATCATTATTTATTACATAATAACACACTGGCATGTGTTTGGCCATTTCGGCTCTGTCTGTTAATTTGATTTTGTTATTAATAACTTAGGTAGAAAAGTTGAACCAAATTTTAGTTTTCCCTTTTGGATAAATCTTGGAGTGCACAATGTGCATAGTAATTGGGTTGGATTGTTAAAAAGTGGTGTAGTGTGCATTCCAAGTATTGGACCAAATCACGTTGTCAACGTAATGCTGAAATACATTTATCCTTCAAAATCTGAATGTAAATATTGTTCCAGCACTATGTAATAATAACAATTATATGCATTGACAATAAAACCTTAGCTGAAAAAGAAACAAGCTGGAGTATATCAAGAAAACATGTAGATAGCCTTGCATCCTTACATTATGAACTTCATTAGGGATAAACATTCTTCATCATATAGACTCTCTTAACTATTGGAATGATATACATGATTTCTTACATAGTTAACCAATGTATTTGAACTTCATTAACCAAAGACATATAACGGCATACCTTTGAAACTCAATCGCTAGACCTGCTATGTCCTCTAACATCTCAGCCAAGGTGCATGACACCACAAAGTCTTGTCAATACAAGGATTAAAATCAACGGTGGTGATTTTATAGTCATCCAAATTATACATAAGAACATCAAAACTATCCCTGTAATAGATGCAATTCCCTTCATATCCAATTAACTCTTTAGTTGAAACGGAAAAGTTACAACTTTGGCCCAAAATGAAAGCTCTATCACTCAAGTTTTTCACATCAACCCATTTTCCCCATTCTTCATCCAACTTATAAATTTTGAAACATTCCACGACTTCATCTGGTTCGCGGCGTCTTCCACCATAGTTTCTCCTCATGTTTTCACTACTTTCATAGTATCTATCAACAACATAAAGACTCCCACAAGATTCCACTAAATGCTTCTTGTTTCCAAAACCACACAAAGGAGGTGAAAATTGGATCAATCTCAAAGATGAAACATCAATCCATGAAATAGTTCCCCATTTATCAGTAACATAAAACTGACCCTTGAAAACAATAACATCATCGTAGTAGAAATTCTTGTCATCCACACGCTTCCATTTTTTATCTCCGTGTTTCATGATTCCTAATTTACCTTCTTCAAATATATAACAAGAAACACAATCCTCAACACTATTCCAAGGAGAGTTAGGATAGAATACAACTTTGTGCACAGAACTTGAGAAACGTATAGGCTTTTCAATTGTATAAGATTTGCATAGTTGAATAGCTCTATAATTTAACAAATTCAATGGCATAAGAGAAGTGTTGTTAATGCTTAGAGGGTAGGATAACTTTCGATCGGAGATAGGACTCAACAAACTCAAAGGTTGATCTTTTGATTCTTGTACCTTAATCAACCAACCTTTGGAAGAAGAAGAAGAAGGTGGTAAAGGTTGTAAATTGGAGTTGAAACTTGCATCAGTTGGTTCAATAAGATAAACGGTAGATTGGTAGAGGTAGCAGTTTAGGGAGAGGTTGAGGGGGTGAGGTATTTGTAAAGGAAAAGATGGAGAATTTGGAAGAGAAGAAGGAACAGAAGATCGAAATAATTTGCAAACGCTGCGAAATCTAAGGACATCTATGTGATGATCAAACTGTTTTCCTATCTTTGGCCATAGCTCAAAGGGGAGTTGAGACCAATCAACTTTTTGATCCATGGCTGAAGAGTTCAAAGATTTGTTGTGATCTTTTTGGATGTTGATTTTGTTAAAGCTATAAGAGAGAAATGATATTAGATTGATCTATATGGTTTAGATGTTTGGTCTTTAATAACTATATACAGGCTTCTTTGTTGGAAGGGTAAAGAGTGTAGAAAATACTTATGAATTTAAAAGAAGAAACAATGGAGATGGAGATAGAAGACTAGAACCGTTTTGAGATCTTTCTGCGAAGGAAACTAGGAAATATGCTTTAGGAATAGTTAAATTGAAAAGTCTTCAAGTGGTAATATAATAATCTGTCCTTGATGATAAATTATTGGCAAAGTTAATCTCATTGTCATTTAACTTCCAATTCTTTTCTGGGTTACTATTTTAGTTTCATTTTTTTAATTTATTTTTTATGTTATATTATATTTGTATGATAGTTTTTTTTAACAATATTTTGTTATATAAGAAAAATACAAGTGACATTTTCATATTTGATAAATCTTAGATAAACTCAAATTCCTCCACTTTTTCCCTTCACTTCTTCTACTTTAAATCTAAATTCTCAAATCTAGAAACCATGAAATCGTGTGTAAATTAATTAATCTGCTAATCTCTTAATTTAATTATTGGTACTTTTATTTTATTCATTTATTTATAAATGTAATTATTTAATCTCTTAAATTTAATTATGTTAGTCAATTTGTATTTTCTTTAAATTTTTAATTTTAAAAGTCTAATTCAATGTAGTCAAACACGAAATCTTAACTAACATTGTTTGTCTTATAAAAGACCATAAAACTCATATTGTTAGCATGACATAAAAGATTCAACCGAGTTATTTGTCTATTTGTAGGATATTGGAACATTTTGTCTGACATTGCTATTTTATCCTCTCTATTATCAACATCATATTTTGTCACATCGATTTTTTCTTTATTATTCAAGGACTGATAGGTAAAGTCTATACTAGTGAATTTTCTTTCTCCTTTTTCTATTTGAATAACTTTATCCACCACTGATAATGTATTTTCTTTATTATTCAAGTTCAGAGTTTGTAGTTAGAAGTTGTTCTTTATCTTCCCGAAGTTGAATCATGAACTTCTTTTGTGCTTCATTTATCTTACACACTTCTTCACTTCTCACACTAAACTCTTTGTAGAACACTACTAATTCTTCATAAGTAAAACTTTCATCAAGGGAATCCTTATCAGATTCATATCTCCCAATAAGGGCTACAGTCTTTACAGTTTTTGCACTTCTAACATTACTATTGATCTTACCTGTTGATCAGAACCTGAAAGTGGGCCGAAAGATGACGTCTGCTAGGCTGGATTTGCAAGAGAGGAGGGGGTGTACCTACAAGGCACTCTGACGATCAAGTAAGAAAGGATGCAAAGAGACACAAGAAAGAGATTAGGGTTTTTAGTGTGAATATTGGATACCTTGCCCTCACAAGTATGAGGGTTTACATAGTTCTCCTGACGCTTGGTCATTGGTTCCTATTTTTGGGTCTAGATATCAGGTTTCCCAAAAATAGGTAACTGCCAGGAACTAGCTGTTGTGTCGACCAGAGGTGCTCGTAACTAGCCATTTACAACGGGCAGATAAATGTCTCACGACAGACGTGATTTCTGGTCGTTCTTGGGTGGCTATCCTCGTGCGTCAGGGCAGGATGTGAAATAGCCTACTTGAGCGGACAGAAGTAACCCGGGAGGCCTTGGTGGCCAAGACTCATCGATTCACGAGCAAAAGGGATAAAATGTCCTTTATTCAGGCTGTTTTATTGGGCCAAGGTCATTGGACCGTCCTACATGCAAAAGTGTATTGAGGTCATCAAGCAGTTACTATCACTGATGGCGTGCACGTCTAGAACCGAGGAGGGTTTCTCAATGCTTGGTCGAGGAAGTATTTCCTGTATTATCAATTTTTTTTCTCTTTCTCCTTTGTGCTCGCCAATTTTTTCAGGATATATGCCCGAGTATTGTGTTTGCGTAGAACGTGTTGTACATCTACGAAGTCAAATTTTTTCATTTTTTTCTCAGACCAGAGCCTAGTATTCGGAAATATGGTCGTTTTTTACCTGATATTCTCCCCGTACCTGGGAGGCGACGAGCTGGGAATCTATGAAGATCTTTACTTCTTCAGCCCCCAAATCTGCGACCAGGCGTAGTCTCGCTAGGAATGTTTTGTACTCGGCTCGGTTGTTTGAGGTCGGGAAGGATAACATAAGGGAGACTTCGATCAAGATTCCTTCCTCATTTTCTAATATAATGTTTGCCCCGCTTCACGTTGAGCTGGAAGCCTCATTGACAAAGATGGTTGACTTTTGCGCTCCGCTCGGAGGGGAGGTTGGCGAGGTCATCTCTACCATAAAGTCAGCCAGTACTTGGGCTTTGAGAGCTTTCTTGCTCTCGTATTTGATGTCGAACTCAGATAGTTTTAATGACCATTTGAGCATTCTTTCTACCATGTCAGGTCGATCGAGTAGTTGCTTTATTGGTAGTTCTGTCCAGACTACAATTGTGTGTGCTAGAAAATAGTGCCTCGGCCTCCTCACCGCGTTGATGAGTTCTTGGGATACTTTCTCTATCTGTTGATATCTTACTTATGGGCCATGTAAGGCCTTGCTAGTGAAGTAAATGGGTTTCTTCCCTCAGGGGTTTCTCGAATGAGGGTTGCACTCACAGCCTCAGATGCCACGGCCAGGTAGAGGTAGAGAGTTTCTTCCTTATTTGGTCGTGAAAGGACTGGTGGATATGATAGCGCGTGTTTGCCGTGGAGGAGGGCATGTTCGCACTCCTCGGTCCATTCAAAGGTTGCCTCTATGCAAAGAAGTTTGAAAAGGGGAAGTGCGTGCTAGGCAGATTTTTCCACAATGCGGGATAACAAAGTGAGCACTCCGTTCAGGATTTGGATTAATTTCTTCGAGTTTGGCATTGGGAATTCAGAAAATGACTGAAATTTGTCGGGGTTGGCTTCAATTCCTCATTCTGTTAGGTAGAAATCGGGGAACTTGCCTGCCCGTACGCCAAAGGTGAATTTTTCCGGGTTGAATCACATTCTGCATTTCATTGCTTGGTCGAAGACTTTCTTTAGGTGGAGCACATGGTCGGTTTCCTCTTTGGATTTTACGATCATATCATCCATGTAGACCTCGAGTGTGTCTCCAATTTCTCCCCAGAAGACCTTGTTCATAATCTATTGGTATGTAGCGTCGACGTTCTTCATATCGAAGGGTATTACGTTATAGTAATAGTTGCTCGACTCGGTCATGAAGGCCGTGTAATTTTTGTCTGTCTTTTCCATGGGGATCTGGTTGTATCCAGAATACGCATCTATGAACGACAATAATTTAAAACTTGCCAAATTATCAACTACTTTATTTATATTGGGAAGGGGATAAGCGCCGTTGGGGTAAGCTCTATTGAGATCAGTATAGTCAATACACATGCGCCATTTTCCATTGGATTTCTTTAAAAGCACTACATTAGATACCAAGGTTGTGTACTAGGCTTTACAAATGAAATTTGCCTCTAGGAGGTCTTTTACAGCTTGCTCGACAACCTCAGTTTTCTCCGGGGACTGCCTGCGCCTATGCTGGGCAACTGCCTTAAGAAAATGATCTATCTTCAAATGGTGGCAGACTATTTCTAGATCCAAGTCGGGCATCTCTACAACGCTCCAGGCGAACACGTCTGTATTTTCCCTTATGCACGTCTTCAGTTGTCTTTTCACCAAGTCGAGGAGATCAGCATCGATTTTGACTCCTTTAGAGGGATCGCTACTGAGGGGAATGATTTTAAACTCCCCGTCTGGAATGGGCCGCATAGGGTGTGCGGGCTCTTCGCTGATTGTTGACTAGGAAGAGCCTTTTGCGTCAAGTAGGGGCTCTTTTTCCTTCCTTTTATGCTCTCAGAGATCTTCTTTCGTGAACCGGTTGTCGAGGTCGATTGTGTCGACGTGCGACATCGGTTTTGGTTCATTATAATTGTTGGGTAAGGCAAGTCTGTTGGCTTTTCTAGGTTGTGTGTTGATGGAGCTTAAACCCTTAGCAGCTACTTCAAATCATCTTCTTGTTGTTTGTATGTCCCCGTGAAGGGTGGCGACGAGCCCTTCCTCGGTGTAATATTTCATCTTCAGGTGCACAATGGAGGGCACCGCTATCAGTTCGGCCAGGGTAGGCCTCCCGAAAATGCACTTGTACAATGATGGGCAGTCCACCACAAGGAACTGCATCTTCATAGACCTGGTCGTTTCTGCCGCCCCAAATGTGACGATCAACTCGACACATCCCCAGGGCTTGGTGACAGAGTCGTTGAATCCCTGGAGGTTGGAGCCTACATAAGGGATCAAGTGAGTCTCGTTGAGCTGTAAGGTTGTGAACAATTGGGAGTACATGATATCAACCGAGCTGCCTTGATCGACCAAAATTCACCTGACATCGAAATTGGCCATTCGTGCTCATACGAGCAGAGGGATGCTATAATGGGAGCTCCATCGGGGAACTCTTCTCAGTAAAATGTGATAGGGATAGAGTTTCCCATGATCTTACCGAGGGTGGAATTCTTGTCGGATCTAGCGTCTATAAGTTTCTTGAATCTTCTCTTCATTGAGACCATGGTACATTTGTTGAAACCCCGCCGAATATAACCATTGCTGATGGAAACGTCTCCCAAGGACTATGGGTTACGAAGTACAAGAGGACTTTGTCTAGGTCGGGGAAGTAGAAGTCTTCTGGCTAGGTGATGCTCAAGGCAACGTGCATAAGGCTTTCATCGGGGGAGGTCTTCTCCTCCTCGACTTTCTTGGACTCTTAGGCATCCTCACGGGGACCTTCCTTCTTTTTATATTGCTTGAGATGTCCATCTCATATGAGGATCTCTATGGAATCCTTCAGGTGGATGAGGTCTTATGTCATGTGCCCATGACTATAATGAAAATGGAAGTACTTGCTTTTTTCCATCCCTGGTTTGGAAGGTGTTTGTCGGGGGAAGCAAACCCGAGCTTGT